ATCCTCCGGACCACTGCCTCCTGCATACTCACTGTTGGTCTCGAGAGTGTAGACCCAAACTTGGAATCAAAACCAACGAAGAAGCTGAAAAACTCAGAATCGGTCGACCGACGGGCGTGGACCGGTCGACTGAAACGATTGTAGGAAACGAGCCCAGAAACATCACTCTAGCCGGTCGACCGATGCAGTGCCATCGGTTGACCGATAGTGATAAACCATTCGATCGACGCAAGGGCACTAGTCGACCGAAAGGTGCACGAGAAACCCTGCAGAAAACAGGGTTCTGGTCGGTCGACCGGCGCTAATGCATCGGTCGACCAACGACAGATTTTCCAGTTTCCTAGTTTGTTTGGGAAACTGTTTGGGTCAGGACTCTATATATACCTAAATGCTTTTAGAGTTATTAGAACACGAAAAAGAGGTTTTGAGAGGACTTTGAGAGAGATATCTCAGAGAGAGAAAAGCCTAATTGCAGGCATTGTAATCTTCTTCAATTAATCAAGAATTTTCTGGTGTGGCTCCCGAGGACGTAGACACGTTTGTCGAACCTCGTTAAATCTGGTGTTCTCTCTTTCTTATTATTTTTTCCTACAAGTTTTGTTTTATTTGCTGTTAGTTCTTGCTTGCTTACTCTCATCACAAGATCCAGAAGGGCACGAGTTGTGAGTTCAACCCCAACAACTAGTATCAAAGCTTCGTTCAGCAGACTTGTGTGTGAGAGGTGGCAGAAGAAAGCAAATCGAAGATTGAGAAGTTTGACGAATCAGACTTCGCCTACTAGAAATCACAGATGGAGGACTATCTGTACCATAAGGATCTTTACCGTTCGTTGATGGGCAAAGCTAAAAGAAATAAGGAGGAATCAGACGAGGACTAGAAAATACTGGATAGGAAGGCTCTAGGGCAAATCCGGTTGTCGCTCGCCAAATCAGTCACTCATAATATATTTTTCAACCATAACGGCTAGTTTTATTTTTTTTTGGGGGGTTGGTTTGTTTTTTGGTTGTTTGAGAGACTATAAAAAGCCCTCAACTCTCATTCATTGTTTATGGATGTTTAAGAGAGTTTCTAAACAAGTTTAATGGGTATTTAAGTTTTGTTTAAGTGTGTTTAAAAAGCCCTCAATTTCTCATATCTCTCTCTCTCTCTCTCTCTTGTCATCTTAGAGAAGTTTTCTAAACTCAATTCTAGTTTTGTATTTATTATTGATTATCATTTTTATTAAGCTAGATTTATATTGATTTTACGTTTGATTTTATTTATACTCTTTGTTTACACACACAACCATTGAGCTTATAGTATTTTTATACATTGTATAATTTGGGTTATGGATAGTATGACTTAGAGAGTAAGCTTACATTGTGTTTTCATCTATTATAGAGAACAAATTTGTATTTAAGCCTTCATTGTGAGATTCACTTTGTATTACACAAGTACATCGAGAGGAGTGTGTGGTGAGGACGTGGTCGATATCAAGAGGAGTGGCATCGGTAGTAAATTCTAGGGAGAAATAGTAAAGCTGAGCACTTGAGGGAGGCGACACGTGAGGACCAACACTTAAGGTGGGAGTTTGTATAGTTACATTGTGAGTGATTGTAAGAGTTTTCGGTGAGCTAGAAAACCGATATTGTGAGGTGTAACATTTTGGATGAACGTCGAAAACTCATTGTGATAGTGGATTCTTCCCGGGAGTGGGGAGCGGAGACGTAGGTCGAAAGGACCGAACTCCATGATCATATTGCTTGTTTGAGTTTGCATTGTCGCACTTATTTTTCGTGTTCATCTTATATCGCCATTGTCTCATTGTTTATTTCATTCACTATATTGTTTGTATTTATTTGTATATACTTGCATATATTATATTTCTCATTGCTAGGATATTATATTAGGAAATTTTAATTTGACATTAAATCAGATTAGATTAGCACATTACCCTATTCACCCCCCTATAGGGTACTTTCAATTGGTATGAGAGCTTGGTGCTCTTTAATTAGAGGTTTAACCGTCTGGAGTCAAAGATCCTCACTTTTATTTTGCTAATCTAGTTTTGAGATTTATTATATCTTGCTTGCACATTTTTAAATCATGGATATGCATGGTGCACCTAGTTTAGGCTATGATATTAATGTTGCTTTATCTTTCAATGCTTTCCCCTATGCACAATGGTGTTTTAGATTTAAAATATTTATTAGATCTAAAAATATTAAATTGTGGGAGGTCATTGATCATTTATGTTGTGCCCTCCTTTGATAAATAGAATGATACTAGACTATCAGACATTACGGATTAGATCGTAATGAAAAGATCTTCTTTGTCGGCAACGTATATTCTAAAATGTTCCTAATCGATGAAGTATTCAGAAGGGACATCATTATTTTGGCAATACTAGTGTATACTCTATTTCTCCTTTTTAAGGAGATAATCCATCTCTTAGATCATTGATGTGAGACATCAAAATACAATATACATGTAACTCATTAGTGAATGAGTTGACTGAACGACTCACCGAGAACATCTAATTGGTAATTATACGTAACTATTAAATAGAAGTTCTCAAGTGATATAGTACAAAGTAGTCTCTTGACCTGAGGCATGAGTGCAATATCTTACATGTTAGTATAGGTGTATTTAGATTTTTACCTAATCACAGTTCTCATTGAGTTGTGCATAACAGTTCTTGTTGGGCGTATTCCGAGACATAAGTAGGTATTGAGATGCCAAGATGGGATTCGTCTCCCCCAGTATAGGGGGTTGATGTCATAAGATTATTTGATATAACTATAACCTGAAAATTCTTGGCCGAGGTAAATAAGATAAACTGAGTGTCAGTTTGATCTTATTGGTTATGAGTTTAATATCACAAACACTAATCAAGCTATTAGGGTTTGACGGTTTACCATACCCTAGGCTTGATAGTTTGACATGGTTTGATGAAGAGACCGAACTGTACGGTATTATCGCTGAGTGGTCTTGATAAAATTGGGAACTTATACATGTTAGACCCTAGAGGGGGGTGATTAGGGTCTTATGCTAATCTAATCCGATTAAATGCCAATTAAAATTAATTAATACGTTATCCTAGCAAGTATGAAATACAACAATGTATATGAGCTAGGATAAGTAATATGAACAACAAAGAGATATATCCTATGTGATGAATATGTATATATGCAAGGATATATAAACAACACAAGGGTAAAATAAACAATCTACACAAGTGATAGGGTCATATGATGAGCAATACACAAAGGCGATATAACAATAAGATATAA